CAAACAACAACAATAATAAATCATCGATCTGTTGAAAACTGAATGAATGAATGAATGAATGGCAGAAAAGAATATCAAAAGTCTAATCTAATCTAATCAACAACAAAAAAAAGGAAACAAATAGAGAATTTGAATTGCTGATTTTTTCTATTCTGCCATAGTTCATTTGCATAATAATAATAATAATGTCATCAAAAATGGACAGACATGTTTTTTTGTTCTTTTCATTTTGACCACAACAACAACAACAACAACGACACAAACAACCAAACAAAACAAAAAAAAAATCAATAAATCAATTTTTTCGTTTTCGGTGAATACATTGCAAATGGATACAGCGACAATTGGAAATCAAATTTCCATAAATATCGATTGTATCGATATGTAAGTATATCATCATCATCAATTTCTATTTTGTATACACCTTATTATTATCTACATAAAGACATTTTCTTTCATTTATTATTATTATCATCATCATAATTAACAAATTGTAAATTCTAATTAGGAAATTCTTTAGGACAATATTTTGCCTATCTTGATCTTTGGATAATTTTAGCATACCTGAGGAATTAGTGAGAAAGGAAGATTCTTGTTTTTGGCCGAAAGAATTCTAATTATATCAAGTTATCCAAATAATGATGATACGAATGACCATCATCATAATCATCAAAATGATGATTATAAGCCAAAATGTAATAACACAAGATAATCATCATCATCATCAAAATAAATTGCATAACATAAACATAATAAGACAGAATTTGTAGCAATCAAAAACAAAAAAAAGCGTGCATACAGCCAATATGTCTTCCAAAAGATTCTTTGTCGCTGAAAAAACAAGAATATATTCTCTAATGAAAAAAAGTGGAAAAAGAATCCTAATAGCTTATTATTATGATGATGATGATAATGATAAGGATGCTAATGATTACAATGATATTCTCTTTTCATTTGTCTTTAATATTTTGTCATTTATACAATATATTCATTTTCATTTGTCGTCTATTTTAACTTTTTTTTTATCATTGAAATAAGGTTTTTTTCTGTTTGTTTGTTTGTTTGTCGACTATTAACACCGAAGAAGAAGAAAAGAAAATGCCGGAAACGAAAAAAAGTTTATTCCAACAAAGTAGAAACAAAAAAAAACATAATTATATAACATTGAATATTTATAAGGAATGAAAAAATAAAAGTCTATTTATCGAATCCTGTTCCTGGAACACCACATACACACACACACACACACAGTGTCTTTTGGTTGATACGTGTACATCTTGTTTCCTGATTCTTCTTATTCTGGCATTTCTTTAAGATTCTTTTTGCTTACTTTCTTAGATCTGAGAATAGAAAAAAAAGTAATCAACGAATCTTTTGGGAAATGATGAAGACACACACACAGTGTTTCTACAGTATATAAAAGGATGTAGATATTTAAAAGAAACAAATAATGATTTTTATTTCTTTTAATTTGATCATTGGAATCACCAAAAATCAAATTAGTCAGTCAAAATGTATATGGACAAGAAAAAAAATGGTTATAATTATATAGGCAATCAACCAAGGATCAAGTTGTTGGATCTGATTGCAAATTGGATAATTATGGCAGGTAGATCCAAAAAAAGGAAGGATGACTAAAATTAATCTGTTTTTAACCAGAAAAAAAACAATTAAAACTTTGAATCGAAACGATTTGAATACATCAAATAAAGCAATTCTTTACATTCACAAATGCTACAATCATTTATTATCATCAATTAATGGACATTTGAATTGAATTTTGAATTTGGTTCAATTGTTTCTGCAATCATTAATGTTAATTTTTCAAATCGATAAATCAATCAATCAATCAATCAGCCATTAACTAAAGTTAGTAAAGAATTATATCTGAAAATTAAAAAAAAACTTGACAGAAATCATTTGATTGTGGATGCAGTTCAGGATTCAGTTCTATCTGGAAAAAAACAAGCAAAACAAAACAAAACAAAAAAAATCTAAATCGAAATAGAAAATTACACTTCCAATTAGCCCATTGGGGGCAATTGATTGGTAATGTCAGTTTCTACATGTTTGATTTTCACAATGAATAGAATAAAGTTTTTGGGAACAAAAACAGAAACAGAAAAGAAGAATTGGAAAAATCATAGCAACAGCAAAGTGCGTGTGACACCTACCCACACACACACTGATGATGATTGAAATGAAAGGGGAAAACAAACAAACAATCAAACAAAAAGAGAGAAAGAGAAAAATATCTGAATTTGACATCCCAAGAAAAAAAACAAAACCCAAAAACGTAGCTTTGGGAATTGAAAACTCTTGTCGTTTTTTTTTTCAATAATAGTAAAATGTAACAAACTACTACTTTCATTACTCGTGCAAGAATTGTAATTCTGTGTGTGTGTGTGTGGTGTGTGCATCATTAGAATAATAATACCTTTCCAGATAGGAAAAAAAACATTGATTTAAATACACACATCGTAACAACAAGAGAAAATGTGAGAAGAAATGAATGAAACAAAAATAACCAACAACTACTATTGCGGGTGTTTTGAAAAAAAATGTCAAAATTTCTACCCGAAATAATAATAATAATAATAATAGACTTTTGATAATAACAATCATAATAATCATATGTAGCTGATAATGTTCTTATTCTTTTCTCATTGTTGTTGAATGTCCACAGCACACATTGAAGATTCAATATTCAGCAGTGGCAATTCAAATGTAATGTTGGTGAATGAAATGGAAAATAGAAAAAAAGAGGAATAAAATCGATATCAGAAATGAACATACAATGGATATGTCACCCATCATCATCATCATCATATATGAATGTCAAACACTTTTGGTTTGGTTTTTAGGTGAATTAGAAATTATTTGGAATGTGATGCAAATGAAATGAACTTGAATTTGTTTGGAAACATCAACAAACCAGGTTTCTTTTGAAAAGAGAAAATGGAATCTTTTCCATATTTCAACTGATTTTTTGTTTTTTGGATTCATTCATTGAATGGTTGAAACATTCAAAACATTCAGGTTTCTTATCATACAATTCAACATCATTTTCTATGTTGTTCCTACGGGAATGATGCAACAAAAAAAAATTGTGTTTTTTTCAAATATATTTTTTTTCTATGTAAAAAAAAGAAAATTCCAAACTTGGAAAAAAACCCGAGATTCTTATGATGAGATGAATTTTTTTTTCTTTGGAATTCTATGCATGGAGGGTGGAAAAGAAGAATTCTGTAAACAAAAAAAATATTTCACCGTTATGGGAATACAATCAACAACCAAACAAATGATGATGATTTGTATACATCTACCAAAAAAACAATGAAAACTACCATGACTATCATTTAAGATGAAAATGATGATCATATTTTTTTTGTTTTAAACAAAAAAAAACCTGGAATGAAATATTTTCAAGAATTTTTTATTCATGATAATAATAATAATAATGGATAACCAATGGCAGAAACAAAAAAGGCAGAAAGCATGTGTTTGTATGCCTGTCAACAGCAACGAAGACGACATGAATTTTGATATGGCAATAAAATAATGTACATTCAAAAAATTTTTTGGGCCCAAAATTATACAAGGACCATAGAATTGAAACCTAATTGTAAGTTGTCAAAAATATGCAAAAAGGACACACACAGTGAGAGAAAGACAGTTAAAATATGTACCAATTTGACATGATGATGATGATGATGATGACAAGCATCCTTTTTTTCACATTTTTCACATTTTTGATTAAAAAATGTGAAAAATAATTTGCCTGTCACTTTTCATGATGAAAATTTTAAAAAAATTCCCTTAAAAATGGAATGAAAAATTGTTTCATTAAAAAAACATTCAGGTAAATGTAATCTTTGCGTTCATTCATTATGGTATTATTATTGCTTTCGGGTTTTTTTTTAAAAAATTTAAAGTTTTTTTCTCCCAAAGATCATCATCATCATCAACAATGACAAAGCAAATTGAAGAATAATAATGATGGCTGAATTGGATTCCTCTTCATTTCATTTCATTTTTTTTTTGAAACAAAATTAACGCCTTGGGCCTTTTGATAACAATAATAAATCAGTGAATTTTGGGAGAAGAAAAAAAATACATTGTGACAAAGAAGAAAGAAAGAAATCTTTGTTACTCATCATTATTTTTTTGACTATATGCAAAAAAAATCAATTGAAAAACTTTTTCAAATCAGACTGTAAGAATCAGATATCTAAGAATCTATAAGAAAAATGAAATATAGACTGACAAATTGTACAACAACAACAGAATCCAAAATACAGTAACAGTATTTGTTCTGTTTGGTTGTTGTTGTTTGCCTATGATGATAAAAATCATAAAAATCATAATAATAATGATATATAGCGTTAACAACGATCCAGATGATGAAAGCATTTAATGCAAATATTATGTTTTACTCTTTTCTATCAACTAACCAACCAAACAGCCTTCATCATCATCATATCAGCCAAAAAAAATGATGATAATATTTTTTTTCCTCAGTTATTTTGTTGTTGTTATTTTTTTATATATGTTTAGGATGATAAACACGGATATGTTTTTGTTTCGAGTATAGTGTGTGTGAGAAAGACTCGAGAGAATTCTTTCAATCCGCGAATAAACCCGGTTTGGTGTAAATGTTTTTTCATTTTTTTTCTGTTTTTGTTTTGTTTTTGGCCTAAAAAAAACTATTTTCATTCATAATGGATCACATATAGAGACTATTAAAAATGATAGATTTTTTTCCCATCAAAAAAAGATAGAATTCTTGACATTCTCTCTCGATATTCATAAAACAACATTCTCTACTAGGAAAGAGAGAGAAAAAAAAAAGATAAAAATTCTAGCATTTATTGAAATATTCTCTAGTTATTGCTCTGGAATGAAAGGGATATCTCTCGATGATCCATTGTGTAATAATAAATTCAAAATGTAGGAAGAGATAGATAGATAGATAGATAGATTAATAGATAAAACATTACCTGAATGTAAAAGTTGTTATCGGACGATAAGATTTATGTGATTCAGTATCGGACATTGGTCTGCCCCAAAAATCATTATTAAATAATTGCCATATTGTTGTTGTACCATGTACATCATCATTTTTAACAATAGCCGGTATATCATCATGAACAAAATCACCATTCAATGAATTTGAAAAACAAATTATGCTTATTAAAATGATGACAATATAAATGATTATAATGGTCGATGATATTAATGATGATGATGATGATGATGATAATGGGGATGGCCAAAAGGATTTTAATTGTTCAATGATTGGCTGTGATGATGATGATGATGATGATGTGGATGTGGGCAGTGATTGACACATTTTTCTATCATTATCAATCAATAATTTTGAATCGATTGAAATGGTGTTGTTGTTGTTGTTGTTGGTGGTGGTGGTGGTGGTGATGGAAGACTTGAGATTTATAATCAATTTTGGATCATCAATTTTTGTTGACAAACAATGTTGTTGTTGTTGATGATTTTCTTTTTCATCATTATTATCATAACATGAAACAATTAAAGGATTAAAATTTTGATGATTTTGATGATTAGAAATTGATTGTTTTAATGATGATGAAGATGATGATGATGATTGATTGATCGGCTTAAGTATGGGACGCATTTTTTGTTGTTGAAAAAATTATTTCACATTTTTTTCCAATATAAAAGAACCTATTAAAAGACAAAATGACAGAAAACAGAAAAAAATGAATCAATAAATCACAATAAAACAATTAAAATGAATGAATCAATTTGGAAATAATTATTTCGAGAATGAAAATGAATTTCCAATTAAAATTAGCATCTTGATTGATAATGATGATGATGATGATGATAATTGGATGGATGAGAGATGCTAAATAAAGTGGATATATTTAACAACAACAAAAAAACTCTCAAAAAAAATCTCTGTGTGTCTGTGTAAATTGACAATCAATTTTGAAAGAATTTAGTAAATTGATTCGACAAAACACAGATTATGCAGGCGAAAAAAAAAGTTTGCATATTGAACTTTGCACTTGAAGAGTATCCAATAGAATAATAAAAATAAATATTCTTTGGAAAAAACATTCAAACAATAAATGAAAGAGAATTTAGACAAAATGATTTAATCGAAAGTGAATAAACAAAAGAGAGTGTTTGGTTAATGAGTTTGAAAGTAGCATTTATTTTTTACCGGAACTAAAATCGGTGGATGAAGTTTTTGTTGATCAAATCGATTCCCAAGTGGCAAATAAACAAAACGAAAAACAAACGAAAAAAAATAGTCTAGTTCGATCCAGGATCATTGTTGAGAGAGAAAATAAATAAAAAACGGTAAAAAAGAAACTTCGTAATATGGCAAAGATCATTTGTGAAGAAAATTGGTTAAAATTGTAAATTTTTTTTTGGCTAGAGAAACTACTAAGCTCCTGGATTTCATTTCAGATTTTTGGTAAAATTCTCGATTCTCACCATCATCATCATCAGCAGCACTGAAATTAAGGCAACCATTAATCATTATGGTTGTTAGTTAATGTGTGGGTAATCTATGTGTGAAAACTCTTGTAGCAAAAAAAGATTGGCTTTGCGCTTCCGTAACCTTCGGTAAATACATAGGAATAAAGAAAAAAAACACCTGGCTCCCGAACAGAATGTTTTCAATGGAGAGCTGGCTGGAAAAAAGAAAAATTTAATTTTTTTTATTCCTTAAAAAATTATATCAACCAAAATGCATCATTGATTAACAGAATTTCAAAAAAACGACGACTGTCAAAATAGTGGAAATTCATTCATCTCAACCAAAATCCAAAACTATTTACACACAAACAACAGATCAAAAAGAAAAGTCAAAATAATTTATTGGATTGTAGTTGAAGTTGAAATCGATGTAAAAAGAACAAAAAACAAAACAAAAATTATTGAATTCTTTTTTTTTGGTTTGTATCGGTTCGATAACACTGAATTCACTTCAAGGATTCTTTTTACTCCTTTTTTTTCCGTTTTCTACTTTTTCATCTTATTCAATTCGTAAAAGTATCTGGTCTAAGTAAAAGAAACATCCATGGTTCACAGAAGAAAAAAAATGGGAAACAATGAGATGTGTCAGTGAAAAAGAAGCAAATGAAATTTATTGTCGAATGAAAGAATCTCTCTCTCTAGGGCCAATGAACGAATCGAAAAAATAAAAATAAAAAAAAATCCGCATGTACCATATGTGGTGCCATACACACCACCACCAAACACTCTTATATTCACAGGGTGAAAAGCAATCATCTCTTTGATCAGGTGATAAATTATAACCAACAACGAAACGATTTTTATTCATTGCAAAAACTTGAAACTCTTTCCTATACTGTTTTTTTCTGCTCAATTCTTGTTGGATAAAAAAAAAGACAAGACAAGACAAGGAAAAAAAATTTCAACAAAAAAAATCGATTTTCAATTTTTCAATTTCTGCTTATTATTTACTAAAAAAAACCAAAAGCAAAGCAAAGCAAAACCGAAATTATTTTTTGGACTGACTGACTGATGGACACTATACATACATTTTTTTTCATTCAATTCGAATTTATCTATCCAAGAAAATAATAGATCTGGACCAAAGTTGAACGATAAAAGGAATGAAAATAAAAAAAAAAAAATCTGGACCTTCATCATCATCATCATCGTAATGGCATAGTACATGATATATTGAAGTGTCCATTTTTCTTTAGAAAAGAAGAAAAAAAACAAGAATCTTGGACGATGATGATGATGATGACTATAAACTAAAAGAAGAAAAAGCAAAAAAGTTTCGAACAAAAAAAAAAATAGTCAATAGACATTCTAAAGCCTGCCTTGTTTGTCTGTCTTTATGAATGAAAAAGAAAAAAAATGTTTCCGGAATCAATGTTCATCAATTTATTGCGATTTGAAACAAACAAACATTTCGAAAAGTTTTTTTTTCTTTTCGTTTGATTTTGTTTTTGTCCAATCCGTGAAATTAATGAACAGAAGAAGAAAAAAACAAACCTACATACCTTTTTCGTTGGGAGATGATTTTTTTTTTTTGGAAAACAAATTTTTGAAGAATAAAATACACCATAAACACAAATCAAAAAACAAATCAAAGATGAATTTTTGATGAAGAACACCAAAAACAAAAACAAAAATTCAAAGTTGCAAGATGAAAATTGCCACAACAGCACCAAATTCAAACGATGATGATTCGAACGATTCATGATTCGAACCAGGCTTTTTATACTCCGAATGATGAGGATGAGTAGGAGGAAGAATCCATTTTGGAAAACCTAAATGGCGAGCAGCATAACAAAACATTCGAAATATATTTTTTTTCCTATATACACAGAATTGGGTTCCATTCACTGTCTGTTGTTGTTCCATCGATTCTTTGACGTGTTATATGCTGAGAGGGTGAAAAGCAAAGCTGAAAAAAAAGATTTTTTTGAAAAATTTTACTTATTTACTTACATTGTATTTCCTTCTTTCTTTCTTTTTTTGAATTTCAAAAAAAAAGAAATTTTTGACAAGACATCAACATACTTTGGGAACATTATTATTCAATATTTTTTGGAATATCAGGAATTGATCCAGGAACTTTTTCCAAAAAAAAACAAGATGCGATTAAATTCACAGAATAGCCGAGAGAGAGAGAGAGAAAAAAAAATCGATTTATGCATCGTTGCTTATTGCTTGTTCAATTGGATTTTTGTTGTTTTTTTTGTTGTATCTTGTTGAATGATCCAAGAGTGAAAAAAAAACATTGATTCTATCTGGATGATGATGATGATGATCATGGCTATTTCCACAGCAATAAACAAAACTGGAAACGAAAAAATTCTGAGAAGCCAAATCAGCAATTTCACCGACAACAACAATGATGATGATGATGAGAAAAACCAAAAAAGAACGATAATCAAGAAAATCAATTTTTTTTCCTATTCGATATATGAATAATGTTTGATCATTCATTCACTCATCGCTTTTTCATATTTTTTATCCGAGGTCCAGTCAATAAGAGCCAACAACATAAAAAACATGTGGTGATCCAAAGCCCAAAAAAAATCGAAGAAAAAAATGAAAAGAAAAGAATTTTTATACATCATTAAACAATAAATATATTGGAACAACATTACATTGAACGATGATGATGGTTATTTTTTTTGTTTGTTTAGTGAGCCACCAATCTGTAACATGTTTTGATCATTGAAATCGAATGAATAGAATAGCTTTTGATGAATCATTATTATCATCATTGTTAGTTGATTGTTATTCTTCAAGAATATTCTTTTTATGGTTCCAAAGAATTTTTCGGCTGTTTTTTGATTGTTCATTGATGACAATTGAAAGGTTATTATTATAATGAAGAATCTGGACATCAAACAAACAAAAACAAAAAAACGACCGAACAACAACGGATTTGATTCGAATTCGAGTGAGTGATGGGCGATGAATCGAAAAAAAATAATCGATTATCGAACGATTCGTTCGATTTTTGTGTGGTATTTTCATCAAAAAATAAAAACCGAAGAATTTCTAATTTTGTTTTTATAAAAGATTCTTGTTTTCAGATCCGAAAAAAAAAATGGAAAATGAAAGATTGATTTTATTTTAAACATCCCAACCATACATAATTTATGGAATTTTCATTCATTTTTTCATTCAGGGGCCGAAAAAAATGAATCAACCAACCAACCAAACTGAATTGAAAAGTTGAAATAACAATTTCCCTATTAACAAAGCAAAGATTCAATTCAATTTCAATGATCCGATCAATCAAAAAAAAAAATGTTCACCATTATTCCATTATCGTTTTTTTTCTCAATGTTTTTGGTTAGATTTTTAATATTTAAAATGATTTTTTCTCTCTCTTTCACAGATACGCTGTACAAATAAATGTAAAAAAAACATAATTCAAAAAATTGATAATCATTGTTCGTCTAATGGAAATTGTTGTTTATGAAATTGTTCCAAATCATATTGCCTAATGGATCGATGATTTTGATGATCACTGTAACGATACCACCAGATTAATGATAATAAAATCACTATGGCAAATATCGATATAAATATAAATGATATAAATCCTATTAATTCCATCAAATTGATTGTTATTTCATCATCATTATTATTGATACAATTGAATTGTTGATTCGAGCTGAAATCACTTGATAAATCTTCCAAATCGAATAGATGACTTTGAATTCGTAAACGATAATTTTCATTGGATAAATTTCGAATGATTACAGCCTTAAAAAAGAAGCAAATATAAATGTAAACTTTTTTTTTTGTTATCAAGAAAAAATCAAACTTACATATGGATCGATTAAATTGGTGGTAACATTCAAAATGGTAACGATTGTTGATGATAAATGATTTGGTCGATTATTTGGCCACCATTCGATTTGAAATGAATAATTTAAACCTTGTTGGTTAACAACGGTAGAAATAGACCAACGAACTAATAATTCTTCTTGATTTAAACAGAATAATTCATCGATTTGTGGTACAGGCGGTATTGACATTCGTGTTCGAAATCGACCACTTTCAATCAAATTATTATCGATCATTTTCGTTATCCGATACCAATGATTTGGTTCTGTCAAATTCAAAAAAATCAAAAGTCAAAACAGAAATCATCAGCAAGCTTTTTTTCCTGGAAAAAAATCATGTCCAAAAACATACCAAGATTATCAAATGAATAACGTTGATAGTTACGTTTTGGTTCTAATTGTATATCGGATTGTTTGGTTTTTTGTTCATCATCAATCAATAAAAATCGACAATTAGTATTATTAACAGTATGCCAACAATGTAATTCAAATGTAGCCATACGATCGGTTGTAGTGATTTTGATAATATCCTGTACTGGTGAAAAAATCTCGCCTATTTTTTTGGAGGCAAATGAATTATCAACCTGTTTGAAAAAAAATCAGCATAACTTACGTGTTTCAACCGAAATGTTAACCATCATCAAAAACGACAACCACGATAGACAAATGGATCGAATCAATGTCATTTTTTTTTGTTGTTGGATGGATCGTTACTGTCGTTGTTGATCAAATGAACAAAAATGTGATCAAGTGTTCATGGAATCAAAGGATATTTATAGCAAAAAAATAACCATTTGGCTGACATGTTGACATGACGTGTTCTAAGTTATACGACCCTCATACATAAACGCGCATGAATTCGAATTGATCTTATGTTGCTGATTAGATAAAAATCGATCAACAAGTTCGTTTGTGTACTGCAGTTTGATCAACACCTTTGTGAATCCTCAAGCCTTTTTTGTTTTATTACTTTCGAATCAAGATAATCAAAAAAGGTATTCTATCCAGTATATTCATAATTACTGATAAAAGATGGCAGCAGTGATAATAATATCATATCGTTTTTTAATTATCCTCATCATCAACATTGTTTTATTGTTTTGGTCGAAACAATATGATTGTTGTTGTTGTTGTTATGAAGATTACGACGAACGACTAAACGTTTTGAATCAAAAAATGAGTTCCAACAACGAAAAATCAATAGATTTGATTTTAAATCTAACTAAAAGTTTGCATAATTCTGGTACGAATCTATTATTATGTCCTTATTCATTATTAACAACATTATCAATGCTTATTGCTGGTAGTCGTGGTAAAACACGTAATGAATTATTAAAGGTTTTATATTCTGAAACCAGATTATCGAATGATGAAGAAATTCAACAATTTTTACAAAAAATTAGTAAAAAACATCAAGAATTTATTGAAACATATAAAAATGTTTGGCATCAAGCTAGTATGGTTTATTGTCGTGATGATTTGAAATTAGATTCATCGTTTGTTCAATCATTAACAAAAATGTTTCAAGCACAAACTAAACAATTGAATTTTCATTCAATTAAAGATTCTGTACGTATAATCAATGAAGATGTATACAAAGAAACCAAAGGTTTTGTTGAAAATATTGTCAATGATTTGGATCCGGAAATTGCTTTGTTACTTATAGATGCAATTCATTTTAAAGATATTTGGGATAAACAATTTGATCAAAACAAAAGTCATTTACAATCATTTCGATTGAGTGATGGAAAAACAACAGTAGAAACATGGATGATGCATCAAACTGCCGTATTCAATTATTATGAATATGAATCATTGAATGTTCGAGCAATCAGATTACCATATCGATCGAATCAACGATTAGCAATGTTAATCATTTTACCATCCGATAATGGTAGTGTTGATGATGATGATGGTGTTGGTGGTGGTGGTGGTGATTCAGCAATCAAAACTTTAACCAAACAAATGAATCAAAATCATTTGAAAGCAATTTTAGATGGAATGTTGGCTACTGCACCACAAAAAATTGAATTATCTTTACCACGTTTTAAAATATCATCAACACATCAACATTTGATTGAACATTTTCGTCAATCCGGATTATGTTTGTTGTTTGATCAATGTCAAGCTGATTTAACTGCAATGTTAACAAATGATGATGAGGGTAAAAAACAACAACAACAGCAACAACAACAATGTTCGAATGTTGTTGAAAATCCTCGACTTTATGTATCGGAAATAATGCAAAAAGCAATGATCGAAGTGAATGAACAAGGTACTGAAGCAATTGCATTAACCAAAATATCCGTACGTAATAAACGATCAGCTGAATTTATTGAAGAAATGATTTGTGATCGACCATTTATGTTTATGATTATTTTATCCGATCCATTGAATATATTGTTTTCGGGAATACTTGAAAATCCTTTATCATCATGATCATCATGAGAGTTTGATTTCCAAACAAACAAACAAGCGACAACCAAAAACTAACCCGTTGAATTCTTAAATTTTGCAATATGCTTTTTTAGTAGTTATTAATGATTTTCGTATTTTAAATTTTCAAAAAAAATAACAAATTTTTAAAAACCCAAAAACTTTCCATCAGATTTTTCGACAGGACAAAATGTGGTCAAATAAGGGTAATTGACCTTTGGTCGTTTCGAACCTGTTCTTTTTTTTCTAACTTTTGAATTTCACGAACAAACAAAGGCGGAGTCGTAAAATCAATCCTGTCTTTGGGTCAGCAAGAATTTTGTTTCTGTTTTTCTTTCTTGGTTTGGCTGAACAGCCAACCAACACCAACAGGTTCATCAATGATGATGATCATCATTCGATCGAGTATCGAAAGCGAAAAAAAAAGTGGTAAAAGTGATTTTCATCAAAACAAACAAATCAGAACCAAACAAAGTCTGTTTCATTTCCAAAAAAATATAACTGACATTTTTTTTTGGGGGTAAATTGTCAAAAATGGCATTGATTTGGTGTTTGTGTGTTTGATGTGATGTTTGTTTGTTTTTTTTCAATCTGAAATTCGTTTGCTACAAATTGATTTATGGATGGTTGATGGTGGTGAACATTGTGAAAACATCAACCAGGCAACCAAAATCATTCAAACAAACAAACAAACATCAGACAGCAACAACAATGGATGAAGTAGAAACAATTGAAAATATTGTTGTAATTGCAATCATAATCCTATTGGTTGTATTTGCCGGTTCATTATTAACATTAATTATTATTTGTTATCAACGTAATAATCATCTGTTGATTGGTGGTGGTGGTGGTGGTAATAAAGGTGATTTTTTATTTCGTTCATCCAAATCATCATCATCATCATCATCATTTCATCATTTTAATAATGATGATGATACACGTTTTAGTGGTCAAGATCATACACATCTAATTTCATCGAATGGTGGTGGTTTAATAACCGATATAAAACGTATGGGTAAAAAAAATCAAACAACAACCAATATGGAATTGGATGATGTTCGATTACATCCGAATATTGATCAAATTCTTTCGAATACACAATGGGTTGATGATGCAACCGGTTTAATACCGCATTGTTTAGCATTATTAAAAGGTTGTCATCATTTAACTGAACGTTTAGTATCATCAACAATGTCAGCAATGCCAAGATTTACCGAAAATGAACAACGTATGAAATTATTTGAAATCGGTAGAATAGCACCGACTATTAGTGCACGTGTTGATGATGTTGTTGAAGCAATGTATCCACCATTAGATCCACGTTTACTTGAATCACGTTGTTTATCATTATTATTATCCGTATCACGTTTAGCAATTGTAATCGTTTATACATGTGCTATTCGTGGTAAATGGATTGATGATGAACTTAAAGGATTAGAATTACAACTCAAGGTAAACAAATCCAGATGCCAAATGCCAAATGCCAAATAACCCTTTGTTTTCATTCACAGATATTACACGAAGTTGGCCAAACATTGTTAATCAATGGTGATGATAATAATCCTGAAACAATCAACAGCACTGCTGGCTTAAACAAAATAACAAATCCTGGTTAAACAAAAAATTCAATTCGATTTTTTTGTTGATTGATCAAGAAGAATTTCTTTTAATCAAAAAAGAAGACAATTAACAAATTATCAATCAATCAATTGTTTACAATCGATAAAATTTAAATGAAAAAAAAATTCATGCATAAATAATTGAAATTCTCAGTGAAAAAAAATTTTGTTTCACAAACACACATAAAATATTTACAATTAAATTCTGATTACGAAAAAAAAAATTATATTGCTTATTTTCAGTATTTCCAATCTGATCCAAAGCCATCCCAATATGACAAGGTCCCTCCTTTGATATTGAAGTAACATTTTGATCACAACAAACAAAAAAAAAATTGGCTAATTGATAATCACATGGTAAAATCATCCATCAATCAATAGTTATTTGTTTGTCTATCGATTCGTATATGCAAACGATTATCGATTGGACCACCGGCCGATATAAATGGTGGCGGTGGTGGTAATTGTTGTACTGGACCATTTGTTGAATGTTGTTGATTAGGAGGTGGCGGTGGTGGTGGTTCACGACGACGATTCTTATTGTTCACTATAGAAAAGAGATATGATTATCGTAATGTTCGATATGAAACAATATTCACTTACTTTGACTGGGATAAATTTTTGGCATTGTATTTCGAAACGGTGATGGTGCTGGTAATAATGATAAATCACGAAATTTATCCGAAAAACGTTGCTGAAACGTATCGGCTATATATTCGAATGGAATAATAAAATCATAAAATCATTTCAATTAATACTTGGACACAACAAACCTCGACTGTTGGTCATTGATGCATTACGAATTGGTGGTGGTGGAGGTGGTAAATTATCCATTTGATTTGATCCACCACTATCAACCACATTAGAAGTTGAATTATTAGGCAATACTAATTGCAATGGCGTGGGTGGCGCCGGTTTGTTATGTGGATGTAAAGTGGATGTCGATCGTTGATTTGTTGTTGTCGACATAGTTTTGTTTGTTGCAACACTTGATTGTCGATTTGGAGGCGGTGGCGGTGGACAAGGTGGTGGACGTAATGATTTATTACCACTTACGCCGCCGATATGATTTCCCGATGATATTGCCGTTTTTGAAGTTGTTGAAACATTTGTTGAATTTGAAAGATTCGGATTGCTCGTATTTCTTGGCGGTGCAGGCGGTTTTGGTGCAGCAGTTGCACTTGGTGAATTCTGATTGATGGTTGATAATTGTGTTTGCATGAAATTATGCAAAGCAGATCGATTATGTTCACCGCTTACTGGCCTTGAATTGGTTGTTGATTCTTTTGGTTGTTGTTGTTGTTGAATTTTTGAGCTCAATTCACTTTGTTTAGGCGGTGGTGGTGGCTTAACACTTGGTGGTTTTGGAGATGGTTTTGCCGATAAAACCGATGGTCGCGAATTTGATCGATGCAAATTTGTTGCCGACGTAGATGTTGCGGGTTTTTGCGACGGTAAAGGTGGTGGTGGTGCTTGACCTTTATGTGCAGGCATTTCTAAAGAATTATTGCGAGATGATGATGATTTTCCTTTTGGATTTAATGTATAATATTTTTGTGGTGGCGTAGGTTTTACCGTTCCAGTAGTTGTTGATGTTGAATCATTTACCGGACTATGTTTTCGTCGATTATATGATGTTGTTGTGTTAGTCGTCGTAGAAGATGATGATGATAATGATGATGTAGGTGATGATGATCCGGAACGTTCGATTGTTGATTCGTTCGAATTGACCGTACATAAAGAATGTATACTTTTACTATGTAATGATGATGATGATTGTGGTTTTGAATTTGTATTTGAATTAACAGCACCGAAATGCGATTCTAAACGTTTTTTTGTTTGAGCTAGATTCGAATTTGCAGTATTAAGACTAGATGATGATGAATGATGTTTTCCAAATGACGACGAAGACGACGATGATTTGTTATGACTTGAATCAATCTGTTGTTGTCGTTGTTGTTGTTGAGCAATATTTGAAGACAAACTTTTTGGTGGCGATGTTCGTTTGTTTGTAACTGAAGAAGTTTGTTTTTGTTGTTGTTGTTGTTGAGATGGTGGTAATAACCTTGAACCAGTTGATCTTAATTTTGGCATACCATTTGCGAAAAGACCACCAAGACCAAGTTGTGGTGCTGTACCTCCTCCAGCATTCGTACCAGATGATGATGATGATGAAGATACATTATTGACATTCGATCCTGATGATGTTGTTGTGGATGTTGGCTCTGTTTTCAAAAAGAGAAAAGAAAATCAATATCATTTTCCAATCATATGATTGATAATTGGCGTTGTTTTCAAATATTTATATGTAAATAAAACTTGAAAAAAGGGGGTAAATAAAAAAATTTACTATTTGATACGATAGGTGCACTACGATCATTGGTTGTTGTTTTTTTAAGTCGAGCACCCGAACGTATATCGGCCAATAATGCTGATCGTCCTCCTCCTCCTGTTGACGGTAATTTCGTTGATCCAGATGATAAACCGGGAGGGGGTGGCGGTGGTGGTGGAGCAGACATGATTGATCAGATTGTAAAATGATATATAAAATTCAAATAAAAAACGATAACAACAACAAAATCGATGATTGTCTTTCAATCAATCACAAGAAGAGTTTTGGGTTTTTCTTTGCTTAACACAAAACACGCACAAATAAAAACGTAGCTAATAAAATGAAATTATAGTCGAATTACATCACATCACATCATCACCACTGTTTGGATTATCATCATCAATCGAATTAAAGTTGAACGGGAAAAACAAATGCAAGGAATTTAAAGGGAAGCAAAGAAACAAAAAAGAAAAACAAAAAGAAAAAAACAAAATTAATAAAAATCAAAATAAGAAAAAAAATCAAAAAACAAATTGGAAAAGGGAAGGGAGGTTTATTGGTAATTAGGATTTTAACGTCGTGGACGCCACCGATCAACACTTTGGATGATTCATATAGCAACACACACACACAAAATACCGTTATTTAGACCAAAAATGATAATCAAAATGGATCATGTGTTCAAAATATGTGTGTGTGTTTTCGGTTTGTTTGTTTGTTTGTTTGTTTGGTTGGTTGCATTCCAAATGGAAATCGATATTTGAAATCCAATATGAATTGTCGAGAATCACCAAAAAATAAATAAAACATACCTTTTCTATATAAATGGCAAACACAAAAAACAGAAACACACACACATAGCAATTATAATTGGTAAATTGTATTTGATAATGGATCACAGACATCAGGTCAAATCAGATATATAAATTTAAATATATGAAAAGAAGAAAAAAACAAGGAACAAAACATTTTCATTCATTCATTATCGATTGGCAACAAAAATGAAAGAAAAAAAATTAGTTTTTTTCCATTTCCAAATTATCATCATCAAAAAGACTTATAAAACACTTCACTCTTATCCACAAAAAAAAATCGTCTTGGTGATGTGATGGTAATCATCACCAACATCATCAATGGATGATAAAAGGGGAAAAGAGAATGCATCCAAATGAATGCTTTTCTCTCATTCACTCAGTTAATTTTTGTCACAAAAAAAAACCATACCACAAGGATGATTATAATCAAATCCACCTTGAGTGAGTCTATTTTGTATTTAGCTACTAAGCAATATTGCTTACAATATCAATATTTGTGTTCTGATTAATTACAGAAAAAAATATGGAAAAATATTTCCAATATGAATCACTTTCATCACCAAATTGACCACCAAAAATCAAAAATTGAGAAAAAAAAGTTTTTGATTTTTTGGTCAATAAAGAGAGAGAGAGACCGGATCCTAAATCGATATGAATGAGAAGTGTGTGTGTGTGTTGTATGGCCATCCTGTTATTGGTTTAAAAAAATGTCATCGATGATATAACCAACTTGGTTGGTTTTGGTTTTTGCTGTATGACGTTGAATGTTGGATATGCTATAGTGTCGAAAGAGAGTGTTGTTGTTGTTGTGGCGAAATGTTTGCCAATCATCATCCAGTAACAAAAAAAAAATTTGCTAATTTCAAGTTTTGATTTCGACAAAAAACATATAGAAATCTCTGATGATGATGAACACACAAACAGTGTCAACGATGGATGATATAACGGTGTGTTTAACCAACAAAAAAAAGAGGCCATCTGATTTTAATATCAGGGACAGGTGGAAAAATAAATAAACTGGACTCACCTCAATACGATGATGATGATGTTTAATTAAATTAATCTTATTGCATTATTGGTTGATGGTGGTGGTGGTTGGGGTTGAAAAACGCAAAGATCATGCGATAAATGATGCTCGAGCAAGTCGAATCAGATGATTAGGGAAAAAAACAATGTTGGATTTTTTTTGGTTAATCGCATCTGGTTGTTACGATAGGATTTTTGCGATTTTTTTAAAATCCTTTTGAGATTAAGACGATGATTAGGTCGATTGGAAGGATGATGGAAGCCAAAATCTTGATTAACTTGTTGATCAAATCACAGTCATATTAGACACAGAAAAAAATTGTTTGTATATCACTATAAAAGGGACAAAAAGAGAATAAATTGAGTGAATGGTCAGCATTTGGATTTTGGATTTCCAAATATGGTCATCGTTTATTAAGATTTTTGTTGTTGTTGCTGGGCACATTATCAACAACAAAAAAAAAAGTATTAATTAGAAGGAGCCATCGTTATTTCCAAAAAGAAACAAAAAAATTCAGTTGATTTTTCGTTTGCGGGATTTGTTGTTGTTGTTTTTGACACAAGAGAAATTCTTCGTGAAGAAAATCGCAGTCCACCAACGCATATTGGATTCTTTTTTCTGGTTGTTTGTTTGTTGTTTTAATTATGTGTACGTGTGTGAATTGAAATGCGACAACGATGATGACGATGACGACCACCACCACCAGAAACACCGATGAAAGTTGATGATCAACTTGACTTGATGATTCAGTTGATGAAGAGAACGAACATTCCACCATCCAAACATTCGAACTGGGCGAAGAACAAGATTTTTATTCACTGGATTTTCATGGAGATGAAGAGAAACAACGGTGGTGTGCAATATAACCAAACAACGCTCATCATAATCATCGATGGTGACGATGATCATCAAAAAAGCCAAAACATCAACAAACAAAACAGGAGAAGACATTCACACTCGAATAATAAACTCAACGAAAAAAAAAGAAAAAAATATATCCTCGAAAAAAATAGAATCTATACGGCCATCTATCGTCAATGGATTCGAATTAAAACGCCCAAAAAAATTGATTCGTGGATCGCCATCTTGTGATTGGAAATGTAAACAATTTTGGGATTATATTTTCAAAAAAAACCCGCGCTACAATGAATATTGTCAGAACAGAGAAAAACAAAAAAAGAAAAAAAAGAATGAATGATGATCCTGTCATGTGAAATGATCATCATCCATTTTACAGTATGGCATTTTACATTTGTAGCGCATCTTTCTTTTAATTGAACTAAATTGATTTTAATTGAAAATATCCGGTTTTTGCTTAGTAAATGACGCGCGCGCCCGTATACACTTAGTTTGGTTTTTGGCTTGGTTTATGGTTTTTTCTTTTTTCTTTTTTCTTGTAACGGGTGGATGTTGCATCAATTAAAATTAATCATAATTCATTACTGGATCTGTCAAGAATTTTTTTTTTCCAACAACAAAAAAAAAGAAAGAAAAAGAAAAAACACGACACTTGAGAATCGAAAAAAATTGGTTTTTTTGGAGTTTTGGTTGTGTGAAACATTTCAAAGACTTCATGTAGCGATTTTTTTTTTTTTTTTTTGGTTTTGATGGTGGTTTTCTGTAAAACAGAAAAACAGAAACAAAAACAAAATGCTGCTGGACATGGTCAGGATTTTCATGGAGATTCTCATCAAATGTTTTTGATGTTTTTGTAACATCGAGAGAGAGAGAGAAAAATCTTGAAGAAGAATTTAAATAATATTCCCACGATATTCAAATGAATTATAATAATTGATATAATGACACTTGATTGTTTTTTTTTGTTTCTTGGCCACATCAATTTGACCAGCAAAAAAAAAAAAAAAAAAAAAAGGTTCAAGTTCTTATCTCCTGCTGATGATCTCTTGCTCTATAGCTAGCTTTACACAATCATCCTCATCATCATCATCTCTGGGTGATCTTAATCACCCAATTTGAAATTGAACAAAACAGGGCTATTTTTCGAGGGTAAAATTAAACGGTAAATGACTGAATTGAAATGAATGAATGCCACGCCTGAATCACACACACACACACAGTACCTATTTATTTTCATAGACATGATCTTGACACGTGTGACACGTGGCTAACGTAGATCACTGTTACTGTCTATCTGTCTATCTGTGTTAATAAGTGACTCTCACCCAGAAAAAAATGACCACTCTTACTATGAAGAGGTCCGCACAACTACTTTCTATTCACTGGTTGAATCTTTGAATAAATTGTTATTGTTTCATTTCATTCAACAGATTCTCAAAAATTATGAATGACTTTTTTTTTTTTGTTGGACAGATTGGATTGATGACTTATGACCGCACACACACACACACACACATACTTGATATATCAATGTTATCGTTTTCGAGATCTTTTTAGTGGATCGGATCATTTTTTTCCGTAAAAACAATCCATTTGTCCATATTTCTACATTGTTTTTCAAAAATTGATTACTGTAATTGACCCATTGCTGTTAAAATAGCCCCAAAATTTAAAACAAAAACCAAAAATTAACCCAAAATGCAAAACATATGGAACATGAACATCATTGGAAATTTACATAATTATTAATTAAAAATCTAAATAGATAAAAACTAAAAACTAAAAACTCATCAGACGATGAAATTCGCCAATGATGATGATGTTTACAAAGGAGTGTTTCGCTCCCCGTGTGTTAACCATCGATTAATTCACCAAAAAAAAAAAACATTTATTAAGGCGTGTCTGATGATGTCATTCGCTCAAATAACCAATCATCATCATCATTATAATAACTGGGTGCATTATTTGGTTGGATTAAGGAGGGGGATGGACCCAATTTTGAATTGTCACTTTTGAAGGAAGAGAAAGTGAGTGATTTGAACACGCCCCCTAAATTTCATATTTTTTTTTTGATTGGATGCTATTAGTATCCACGCCCACATTAACAGTACAGTTACAGTACTTGTATGGTATGAACAGGATCTATTTTTTTGAAGAAAACATTCGAATTCGAATGTTTTCGAAATGATTCGAAATGTTCATCAAAGAAGGGGATATGGATCGATTCATTTTTGGCAACAACAAAGACCATTTTGTGACCACGACCATAATCATCATCATCATGATAAACATAATGATTATTTAGTTCAATCAAGCGACGACGACGACGACGACAACAATATCGAAGATCAGTTAGTTTTTAACTAACAATTAAAGTTGGTCAGTGAAGTGAATTGAAATGAAATAAATTGAAATGAAGTCAGTCAGTCAATCGATGATAATCAGTTTGGTTTTCTAACAAAACAAAAACAGATTTTTTCTCTTTCTTTCTTCATTATTCAATTTCTTTGGTTCATTAGTTAATTGGCACTAATCTCTTAATTAGATATTCATCATCATCATCATCAAAAGATTAACTTTTTTCAATGACGACTTCGACTACGACGGCAAGTAAGTGTTAATATTCGGGTTATTTTTTCTCTATTTTTTTTTAATTTTGTTTATAAATTTCCATTTGAATGATTTGATTTGATTGATAATGATGATGATCAACACCTGACATATAGACAGACAGACACTTTTTTCTTACCTGGATTTTCTGTTTTTTTTTGTTTTTGGAGATTATCGTCTTTTAGATTTTACCTTTTTTTCAAGTGTATACCATCATTATTATCATCGAAAGTCGTTTTTTCCCTACTAAACCATTTTTTCTTTAACTAACTAACTGTTAAAAGCATGTTGCACACACAAAAAAAAGCATCGTTTCTTTATTATCTGCAATTTGGTATCATCATCATCAAACGACATTGTAACAAGGGATTTACAGCAAAAATAGATCAATCAATCGATTGATCAATTGATGAATCGATCTTATTCATTTTTTCTTGCTTGTTTGATTAGAATAATTAAAAATATTGTTTTTAGTTTCTTCATTTCGAATGTAATCGATATTTATCAACATTTTTTCTTTCGAACGTTTTTTTTTTGGTGAAAATTACAGGTTCGATTCCTATACCGACATCAATTGACAACGATAGTGGTAATAGTGGTGACAACAACAACAGTTTATGTATGGAAAATGTTCTTGATCACCATCGTTCATCATATATTGATCATCATCAACAAGATGATAATGATTTAATCGATACAGAATTTATATTCAATAATAATAATAACAATAATAACATAATTACCGGTTTTCGTTCGGATAGTCCATCAATGTTAACACTTTATCCATATGGCGATTTTAATAATTTAAACACATTGAGTGAAAATAGTCCAAATGAATCGAATGAACAAAATTCTTCTATCCAATTAACCGGATCAATTGAATCTGAGATAAATATTGTTCCAGATTGCAATCAATCAATAACAAGGACATCATCATCATTATGGTTTCCGCATGAATTACATTTATCAAGCAACATTTTGATGAATCGATCTTATCATCAACATCAACAATTGGATGAGTGGCAATCATCAAGATCGATAAATCCGGTGTCGTTAACTAATCACATGGTCGATACAATATCAAATACCAATACAAATAATTATCTATTGGATTTGTTCAATACTCAACAACAGACAGCAACTATCGTATATGATGATGATGATAACAATGACAACGGAGATGGTAAAGAAGATGTGTCCAATGATATTGATAAGGGCAACAATCACTATGGACACCACCACCAACAACATCATCAACCTCATCGGCAACATTATCATCCTCAGGTATCATCATCATCAACATCATCAACATCAAATGGATCATTGTCGTCGTCATCATCATGTTCATCATCTCCATCATCATCAACAACAACAACATCATCATCAACAATATTAATGACGATCGATACACTACCGGTAATGAAAACAACGGTTATATTGAATGAACAAAACAAACAACCATCGATTGATGAGATAACAACAGTCGAATCCATGTCGTATGTGACATCAACATCATCATCATCGGTATTTGATTCAACAACGACGACGACGACTACGACGCCGGTTGAAACAGCATCCACTATAACGATCGATGAAAATTTGAATAATCATCATCATCATCATCATCAATATGAATCCTATCTATCCGTGAATAATAATCATAATCATCAAAGTCAGCAGCCAATATATAATTGTTATGATAATCATAATAATGATAATGATCCATTAACTAATGGTTCAATGTCATCATCATTGAATCGAAATTTTATTTCATCATCAACAACAACAACAACAACAACTGAAATGTATGATAGTAGCCAAACACCGATCATCGTCGACAATGATCATCCACATCATCTACATCATCATCATCATCAACAACAACAGCAGCCGCCAAATTTATATAACTATGGTAAGTTCAAATAATATTTGATTAGTCTAGAAAAAATATTATTCAAACAAATTGAGCCATTAATAATGTTAATTATTAGCTTTGTTCATTGTAGCAGAATTCATATTTTTCACAATTCAATAATCATTCCAAAATCGATCGAAATATCGTTCGATTGTTATCATCGATTTTTTTATTTGGCAATTTTTTTCCTCTTTTTTATTTTGTTACCATTTGTTTTATCCATTTCTAGCCAATTCAACTGTACCCGATGATGATGGTACACTATTTACGAATCTAATTGATCCATCATTATCATCATCCGCATCTGCATCATCATCATCGTCAGCATCAACAACGAATCAAAGTCCAACAATAAATGAAATGAATACACAACAAACACAACAATGGTCAGTAATGGATAATAATATTCATTATCAACAAAAGCGACCAACAACAATAAATGGACATTGTCAAACTACGAATATTGATGATAAATCACCAACAACAACAACAACTAATAATCATCATTTATTCACATCTCCACTGATTACGGCAACAACAACAACAACAAATGCTACAACAACAACAACAACCACTGCAAACAACAATAACAATGTTGGAAATAAGAAGAAAAAGACCAGGTTTGTTTTTAAATGTTTGGTTTGCATGTTTTGCGGTTTTTGTTTCTTGGTTGCGTTTTGTTTTTGTTTTATAGTCAATCCTAAGTGATCCTTGTTCGTTTATTCGGCCATTAACTGGCGGTGAATATTGATTAATCGATAAACATCACAATGGTGTTTATCGATTACCACACGATCTTGGATCACTTAGGATTGCTTTTTCATTTCAAACACGCAGAACAACATTTACATCATATCAGTTGGATGAATTGGAACATGCATTTCAACGAGCACCATATCCGGATGTATTTGCACGTGAAGAATTGGCTAATCGTTTGAAATTAAGTGAATCTCGTGTTCAAGTTTGGTTTCAAGTAAGTTAACCTTGACTTTTGTTTTATCAAATGGAAAAAAAATTGTTCGATATCTACATAGAATCGACGAGCAAAATGGCGAAAACGTGAACCACCAAGGAAATCATTTCTAAATTCGGCAACAAATTTTTTCAACAAAAATCATCCTTTAATGTCTATTGGCCATCATCATCATCATCGTCATCCAATCAATACATCAAATTTGGTCGCAATGGCCGCTCCAAATATCACACCATCATCATTATCATCATCATCATCAGGTCATTCATCTAGTTTGATGGTAAATTTTTTTTTAAACACAAACAATCCAGACTGTCTGATTGACTGTCTCACTAATTATGAATAATATTTAATAATAGTTTGGCTCGAATGTCAATGGCACAGCAACTATCATGTCGAATTCATCATCATCAACAATAACTAGTCCTCATCATTATCCAAATGGTGCCTATATATCATCATCGGCCAATATTATTGCTGAATCAAATTCCTCTTCACAACAACAAACCTCGACAACGAGCATAATGACATCTACGTCATCCAATCAGAATCCATCTTCGATATTCACTACCGCTATCAACAATAACAATGATAATTCATCATTGAATAATCATCATTCTTGGTCTGGTTGGCCATCAACAACAACGATCAACGATCATTATGGACAACAACATTTAACAAATCTTAATTATACGGCTAGTCCATTATCAATGGATTCTATTTATCATCCGAATAAGTAAGTTATATTTTTCTGCTGTATCACATTCGATATTCATTTTGTTGTTTTGTTTTTTTCAAACAAAGCCAAATCAACATACCTGCTGCAGCATACGGTAATCATCATCATGTAGGTTATGGCACAACAATCGGTTATGGTTCACAATATAATCATCATCATCATTCACATCGTCATTATGAAACACCATTCATTATGGATAATAAACCAATCATAGCAACATCAATTATTGGCCAAAATGATTCGTTAACATTCGATATGACAACACCACCGACATCATCATCATCAATAAACAGTCCAAATAATAATCAACAAGTTGAAACAGAATCAAAATTGTCCAATATTATTGTCGAGCATAAACAATCATCATCATCATCATCATCGCCAACACCACCACCAGCACCATCATCATCATCATCATCACCATTATCATCATCATATCAAATCATAAATGCACAACAACAATCAGAAACGGATGCACATCATTCCGAATAATCATCATATACAATACAATGTACAAATCAAAATCAATCAAACATCATCCTTTGCACACATTGCACCAATAACACACACACAAACCTTGGAGCTATCACCACAGAATGCCTTGAATCCAAATTAAAGAATATTTCTAAGCCTAAATAAATAGGCTTAAATATTCATTATTATCATCAAATTTTACAACAACAAAAAAAAACAAATGTAACAATTTTATTCATTAAAGTAAACAAAACAATAAATAAATATTTCTATAGAATAATAATAAATTATAAAGACATTTTCTGTAAATATGGTGGCCATTTATAATCCATTGAAGAATGATCACCATCATCATCATCATCAAATGAGCTATATAAACGTATAAAAATTTTATCCCAATCACAATCAGGTAATAATTCTTTGAGTATCAATTCGAATAGAACAAAAATCAATCGCAGATTCAATGTTTTATTTTGAAATAATTCAAATAATGACATTAAACCTGATTGTAATGTATCGGCACCAACTACACGTCGAAGATCTATTTGTTTGTTTGGTTTGATTAGAAAAAAAATTTAGAATAAAAATCATTATCAGCCAAAACTTACCTGACAGAAATGTCATAATCAATGCTTTGGCAGCAACTTTACGTCGAAGACGATTTTCTTTTTTTCTTATCAGCGATGGAGCCAGGATTCCATCAGGCCAGAAAAGATTCCTGTAAAAAAAATGAGAAAATTTGAGATTACCATCCCTAAATAATCGAACAAATCAAACAGTTGCTTACTTGAATGAATCAATATAAAGACAAATATTAGCAATAGAAGTTGATTCATTAATATGATCAATCATTTTCTTGTTGATTGTATCGGAAAATGCTACTTCAACAATTTGTTTAAACAATTCGATTATCTGACGACGAAGCCAAAAATGTTGACTTTTCAAACCAAATACTTCATCCAATAATAATAATAATGGTATATTTTCTTCATCATCATTTTGGCCATTGATTTTCTCATTATCATTTTGATCATTGAACAAATCAAACATTGATCCAAGATCAATTGAACTATCACTTTTTTTCGAACCAAATGAATTTGTTTCCGATTGTGGTTGCTGAGCAGTTCGATTCAAATCATTTTGTGATGATAATGTTCGACCAAGTCGTTGAAAACTATCCAATAAATTTTCCGATTGATTACGAAAAACATTACCAATTGTTTTGATTGGATTTAATAGATTTTTTGCTGTAGTTGATGTTACCGATGTTGATGATGATGATGATGATGATGATGAATAATTTGTATCATAATTACCTGGATGTATAAAATGTTCAATATCATCACGTAAAAATTGAAATTTTCCATAAATATAATTCAATTTTTTTAGATAAACATTCAACATATAACGTCGATATTGAATGAAATTTTCATTCATTCGATTACTTAATACAGTTTTTGGTGGAAGAAATAATATAGTTCGTATATTCATATGATAACGATCACATTTGTTTACCAATGTTTGATGAAATCGAAAAAATTCCGAATATCTTCGCAATATTGTCCACGATTCACCATTCATACGTTCAACATTTATTAGATAACCAATAAATGATTTACCTTGTAAATTTAATATACCAGTATCGATTATATCGATATCGAATGAATTTTCATTCGATATTGTTCGATTATTTTGTTTTCGATGTTCATTATTTGATTCATCATCCAAACTATCACGTAATAAATCCGGTTCACCTAATAATTTTCTATAATATTTACTTTGACAAAAAGCAGGGAAAAAATCCCGATGATGAAGTAATAAATCACGAACTTGAAAGAAAATATCATCAAATAATGTATCGTTCATCCATTGTGATGAATCATCAGACATTAATGTTTGATATAATTGATTACAAAGATTTCGATCAACTAAATTAAGCAGACTTGATTGTTGTGATTGTGATTGGGTAGAATTTTCCGTTTGTGAAAGATATGTTTCATATATATTCAATGCTGTAATACGAACATCATTTTGTAGCTGTTGATATTGTTCATTGGTTACCGAATCATTTACTGATGTTAGGTAAATTTCAAACAATCCTTGTTCAATACTAATCTTAAATGTTTGTACATTTATATAGAAATTAATATATGCTTCGGAATTTATTGATGTCATATATTCGATAAAATATTCAAGTGCAATATTATGTCGAAGAATTGTATCGAATGATATTGTTATTCGTGATGATGATTCATTTTTTTGTTTTTCATCATTATCATTATCCGACGGTAATGAATTATCATCAAATTTTTTCAAATGCGACAAAATAATCTTTTTCAGATAAAGTAAACTATTCAATTGTTGTTTCATTCTCCCTTCATCATCATCCTGATCTTTTGAACGCATCAACAGAATTTCTTCATCTACACTTTGTAAAACAGCATTAAGTTCATGAACATCATCGGTTGATTGAAGTACCAATATGAATGTTTCGGTTGTCGGACAATTTGATTTCAAAAATGATATAATAATACTGTTGATGAAATCAGGTTCAGAAAATGATTCGATCAATGGTATCAATAGAAATTTCATCAAAATCTGTTTGGTCAACATACGAAATGTTTGATTAGCAAATGATTCACGTGGATAAAGTGCATATTGAAAAATATCACAAATTTGTGATAAAAATTGAAAACGTTCCGACCATTGTTGACAAATTTTTTCATGTGAAAATGAATTTTTTTCCGATTTTCTTTCAATATTGAAAAACATTTGAATAAGCTCCTGTTCGGTATGTATTTTATATTCTAATTGTGTTTTTGTCATTCGATATAATCGTTTATGTTTAGTTATTTCATCGACCAATTTGTTGATAATCAAATCGGCTACATTTACTTGTCGTAATCTGCCTATCAAATTGATCAAAATCTGATGAAAAAGAATATAAAGTTTTGTTGATAATTCTTCATTTATTGGTGAAATCGTTTGCGACCATGGATGGATATGATTTTTGATAATTACTTCGAGCAATGAATTCAATTGATTGTCAATTTCCAATTGATTTATAAATTTTCTATTCGTTTCCAACTTTGAAATCAAATGAATTTGGCTATTAATCATTTTGGTCAGATGATTTTTAATATGAAGATTATCACAGCTAATAAAATGTATTGGTTCCATTTGATTGAATATTTCAAAATCACGTTGAACATTTTGGATGTTTAATTCGAAAAAGAACAACGCACTATTTGGAAACAAAAACAATGAACAAATTTATTCAACAAAAAAAAGAAAAATATTTCGTACCCGAAAAATGCAGCAAAAATAACCGTTATCAAGAAAAGAATCAAATGAAATGAAAAAATGAATAAAAACAAGATAACAGCTGTTAGAATGATGGATGATGATAAATTTGGCTTCATTTTATTGCACCATCATTATTCAAGATCAGAGGTAATAAAAAAAACAACAAACAAACAAACAACAACAAAAAAACCAACAAATTTATGACATTTTAACAATTTAATTTCTGAATCACAGCTTTTATAGATTAGATAATTTCAGAGGGTCGAGCCCCTTTTATTGCAACAACAACAAAAAAACATTTTGTTATGATTGGAATCTGTTTACACATTTGTCATCAGCTGAAACCATTGTTGTTTAGATAGTCGATTTTTTTGGATCCAAAAAGAAGAAATTATTGTGAAATTGTAAAACTTGATGAAAGAAGAAAATGTCTCAAGTAAAAATTCGTCATCCAATACAATTGATAAAATATTTTGTATTCAATACTAAATGGGGATCAAAAGAAGGTAATGAACATGAAAAACTTATATATTATTATCATAAACCTACGTTAGTAATTGGTATTGATCAAAAAATATCTGATGTTGGACTAGCTGAAGCTGTTATAAATTTTGGTCGGCAATTTGGTGATATAACTGAATCATTACAAGGTGATCGTTTACGTTTTATATTTCATGAATTAGCTGATGATTTTTGGTCATCAATGTTTATATCGGAATCATATTCCGTACATAAATCCGGTGAAGATTCAACACAAATAGCTGAATATCATGAAAATGAAATTTGTGATAATTTTTTTAAACTTAAATTAGAAAATATTTATAATTATTTTCGTTTATTGAATGGTCCGATTAATGAATTATGTTCAAAATTATCACGTCAAGAATTTCTGGATAAATGTCAAGATTTTTTTGATAATTATATTCCAAATATTGAATTATTACCATTCAATTTGATTGAATTATATTCATCAATACAATATCTTCCACTTAGTAATAATACATTTATGGCTGTACAAAGTCTATTGAATTGTGTACAGGCTAATGATTCACGTATTGATTCATATATTTTTATCTATAATGATCAATTAGTATCAAGTTCTTTGTCATTGTTTGATACACAAATCCTGTATAATTATCTGACAAATATTATTATACCTGATGCTGTAAAAGAAGAAATAAGTGGTATATCGAATAAAACACGATGGTTACAAGTTAATATTCCCGTCTATTTGATTGGTCATCCTGATTGTCATCAATCAAAATTCGGTAATCTTTGTCTATTTCGATCGATTAATGGTTCAACTATTGGTTTAATATTAACCGAATTTGATGAAAATATTTTGAAAGAATGTGGAACATTATTATCTGGCCGTTTAGTATCGTTAACAAATAAACTACATGAAACTGTTACACAAATAGCTAAACAACCGGATTCAAAATTATCAAATGATAATTCAGCTAAAGATATAAAATTTATTTATGTTAATTATAGTAATTGTGCACAACGTGGTAATTCAAATTGTCGTAAATTAATTGATTCAGATTTCACAAGATTAATTATCGATGTTGAATCCGATCTACATCAGCAACAACGATTCAATGATGAACAAGTATTCGAATTGATTGGTAAAAATATGAATGATGCATGGTTAGTCACTCGTAATTCAGATTGTCGTTCATTATTTGCTATGCTTAATTATAAAAATGCAAATGTTATTGAAGCAAGCGATATGATTGATGCAATGCAAAACAAACATTTTAAAAATTTATTTTTCGGTATTTGATTTTGTCACAAAAAAATATCTATAAAGAAAATAAAAAAATCTATAACATTGGATTGATATGAAGACATTTTTTGTTTTCAAATCAATCAAATTTAAATACATATTTGGCATTAGTAAAACCTTTTGATATATTTTCCATTGCTTCTTTCCAATCATCCAAACGAATCAGTTCAATTTTCGGTAATTTTAATTTATCTTCAATACGTAATTGACATAATTCTTCAATCATTTTTATACGTTGCGAGGAATTGAAATTTTCCTGACTCCATCTGGTCATCCAATAGCCAATATATTTTTGATTTTTAAATATAAGTAAACCAGTCGGTATGACTACTGGTTTTCGTGACATACCACCATATGTAACCATTGTACCATTATCGGATAAATATCGCATACAATCGGTTGCATTTTGACCACCGACACAATTCAGCGCTAATTTTGGTTTCGGTATTTCGGCCAATATTTGTTCCATTATTTCACGTTTACGTAATTCTTCTTCAGTTACAACATAATCAGCTCCCAATGATTTAAGATGATCACGTAATTCATCTAAATTAGGACGTTCACGTACAACATTGATTGTTTTGATTCCCCATAATTTGGCCAATTGAATAACAAACAAACCGACAGCACTGTTACCACCATTTTGAATCAATGATTCTCCTAAAAAATAATCATCAACAACGATTACAAAAAATAATTTTCATTTAAAAATAACAATTGTACCTGGTTCAAATTTATGAAAATCTTTTAACATTCGATATGCTGTAGATGGATTTACGGTTAATTGTGCTGCAAATAAATTATCTACATTTTTATCAATAACGGTAACATCTTTTTCGGATAAAATAGCATGTGTAGTCCATGTACCACTTGCTTTTGCAGCCGGTATAATTTTATCACCAATTTGAACATTTTTAACACCGGAACCAATGCGAATAACTTCAGCAACACCTTCATTACCAGCAATAGCTGGAAAACTTGATGGTTTTACTGGATAAACACCTTGTATTGTATTTATATCGGCAGGATTAATTGGTGATGCCAGATATTTAACCATAACATGACCATTTTTAATAACACGTTCATTTTGAATTGATACTTTTTTCAATACAGCTACTGGATCACCAAAATTATCATAAGCCAAAGCTTGACTAGCACGACGAATATTTGTTAAAAATAATGTCCTAGGCACCAACAGATGTTGTATCATTTTTTGAATTTATTATATATATTCCGGTTACAGATTGGAATTTATTTATTTTCTTCGAATAATAATTTCGAATCAAAAAAAAACACTGCATCTGACTTGAACGTTATGTGATATCATATTATAACACAGACAATCAATGATGCGTCGAAATAGTTGTTGTACCCTGATTCGACGATAATTGCATCAGTTTCAACCACATTGACCTCGCACATTATCGGCAGCAAAAGCGAAAAGAAACCCGTTATATTAAGTCAAAAATGCCTTGTGATGGTGAATCAAAACAAAACAGTGAAAAAACTGCCACCGGTGAACCTGCTAAACCATTAAAACCATGTTGTGCTTGTCCAGAAACACGTAAAAAACGTGATGAATGGTATGTGTGAATGAATTTGATGATTCGAACTAATTTCTTATCAATTCCAATTTCGAAAAAAATAGCATTATCGAAAAAGGAGAAGCAAATTGTACCGAATATATTGAAGCACATAAAGAATGTTTACGAAAACTTGGTTTCAATATTTAAAATTTTTATTTAATTAATTAATTTGTAATTCATAATTCAAATAAAAGGCTAAAAATGCCAAATTGAAAATAATAATAAATGTTTTAATTAAATCAAATTACAAATTTGGTTTAGCCCATTCAACACTTAAAATTAGATTATTATAACCATGACCATTTACAGTTCGAATAGCACGTGCAGCATTTTCACGTGTATCAAAACTAACGAATGCAAAACCTTTCGAATAACCGGTTGCTTTATCTTTGGCCAAAAAGATTCGTGTAAGTCGACCAAAATCTTTGAATAAATCTTTAATATCGCTATCCTGTGTTTCTTCCGGTAGATTGGTAATTCGAATTGTATTTGCTTCGTCTTTACCACGAGAACCAATATCCAAACGTTTACCATCTCGAAGCAATGACATACCTGGTCGAGATCGTGTTCGATCATCAGCCTAATGAAAAAAGAATGCGAAAAAAAGTGTTACAATTTTTATATTCGAATGAATAATTAATGAAAAAATACCTTTGCAGCTTCATTACTATCGGCAAGTTTGTTGAGGGCAGACATTTGCGATGCGAATGGACATTTGATGGTCCAATGATTGTGACCACAAAAACGACAGGTAATGTTTTGATTGGCAAGACCTTTGCCAAGATTTTGTGTCAAATCTTTTTCGGCATTTTCTTCTTCTTTGTTGGCCAGATACTCCATTTGAATTTCTTCGGAAATGAATGTAGTTTTTGGATTCGGTCCAGGCGAATCATTAGTAGATTGTCCAAATTTATGCCATGTTTTACGTTTAGCAACGTTTACCGATACACGACGTTTTTCTGTTCGAAAATATTGTTTCACTTGAACTCTTTTACCATCTTGTTGACGGATTTCAGTGACGATTTTCATATCGCCATCAAATTCTACACGACGTTCATCAAGATCTTCATCTTCGTCCATCTGAATGGCCCATGATTGATCGGCGGAAGGCATTTTGTTGGTTGTTTTTTTGGATTGGAAAGTATACAACCGGAATTATCGTCAGAAAAATGAAATTTTACGAAATTAAAGGAAACGAAAACAAACAATGAATTAAAGGCAAAAGCGTGGCATTTATCCGACTCAAACATTTATTGCGCATATTCAATTCGAACAACAACGGCGACATATCATTTATGAACAGTCATTTGTGTGTGTTTGATGAAACAATTGGCAAATTCATTTTGGATTTTTTGATGCCGATCGAATCGTTGATTTTTTAAAAAAAATTTCATATTCGAAAACAACCAAAAAATGAATATTACCAATATTGAAGATGAAGAATCGAAATTTCGTCGTGATGCTCATCGTTATCTAATTGAATCGGGTGAACGTGATCGTTTAGTACAAATACTAAATGATAAATTAAAAACATGTGAATGGCATCATAATGTTTCGATTTGTTGTCGTGAATTATTATCCGAAATTGGTGTTGATAATATTAATTTTGATTCATTGGTTGAACATATAACACCGAAAGCAAAAGATATGGTACCGAATGATGTTAAAAGCGAAATGGTCAACATTATACAAACAACATTGGAAAAAAAATTCAATGTTAGATGAATAAAGCAAAATAATAACCGCCTTTTGTAAAAAAAACAAAATACCAAAAAAAAGATATCTGTTCATCCATTCTGTTTGCGTTTACTTACTTAATAAATCACATTCACTCAATTTATTTTTTACTCAAACAAAAAGTAATGCCGAAAAATAAATTTTCTTGATTAATTAATAATGAAATAATAAAAAAAAATGTTTAGAAATTTTATGAAATGCTTGAAAAAAATGATTCTCTACAAAATAAAATGAATAAATAATTTTGAAATGCAATCATCATTATTATAAACGTTTGTTGGTGTAAAGGCCCAATGTTTCGTGAACAACATGTAATCGATCAACATAATCTTTAAGTGTTGAATTAATTACTGGATGATGATTGCCTTGTTTTATATTGATTAAATGCAATCTTGATGGACTTGTATTTACAGATGATGATGCGGATGATGATGATGAATTCAAGCTTTTACCATCTTTTGTTGTTTGTCTTGGTGGTAAAGGAACATTCTGTAATGCAGCAATTGAATTGGCAGTTTTATGAAATAAAAATTGTCGTTTACGACATTGCCAAATATTGACCATAAATCGCATTCGACTTAATGCAATCAATGCATACACAATTGAACGAAATCTAGATTTACCATGCATTCGATTATCATCTTCATCTGATTCTGGTGAAACAAAAAAAAATTGATTATTCTGTACAATTCTGTAAAATAAAATAATCTTACCTTTGGAATTGTTAAAATTGGCCAATAATGCTAATGTATCATTTTCGGTACGTTGATAACTGTTTAAAACATGAATCAGATAATTTTTCTGATAAATTAATGCACCTTTTTGTGTTAAAAGACGACGAACTTTTAACATTAATAGATTATTCGAACTAATTGAATTTATTCGATCCAAACCATTCATTTGTTGATTATTATTATTGTTGATGGTAACGGTATTAGTTGTCGAAATAGCTAAATCTTGTTCGGCAACTAAATCAACATAATCAGCAGCAGCTGTTAACATATCCTGTTTTTGTCGTAATAATTTTTGATTATCAATTTTTAGTTCACAATTTTCTTTTTCTAATAATTCAATTTTTTTCCGAAGATTTTGTATTTCCAATTCCAGATAGGTAATCTTATCCATTGATATTTTATTCTGTAATCGTAATTTTTCAATATTTTTTTCATAAATTGTAATTTTATTACGTGAATCATCCAAACATTTAAGCCGGTCATGATAACAATCACGTTCTTGTTGCATTGTTTCGAATTTCGTTTTAAAAATTTCAATATTATTTTCCAACATTAATATAGTTTTATCTTTTATTTCTAATTGATCATTTAGTTTGGCCATTTCGAATGTCAGATCTTTTGAATTTCTTTGATGATGATCAAATGTTGTTTTCTTATTATCAACATTAACATTATTTCCATTGCAATGATCATGTGATTTGAGCAATTCTTTAAACGAACGTATTTCTTTTTTATAAGCATCTAATTTTTCAGTCAATTCATTAACATGACGATTTGATTGTTCCAATTTCACTGTAATCGATTCGGTTTGTTGTTTTTCCTCAATTAATTTGGTTTGTAATTCTTGTACAACTTTACGAAATTCTTGTATATCAACCGATGAATCTAATTTTACTTTTAATTGTGAACATTTTATATGACTTGTATTGATTTCCTGTTGTAATAGATCATTTGTTTTATTTAATTCTTGAATATTTTTTTCTAAATATTCAATTTTTGGTTTAAGTTGTTCTAATCCTTTAATTAATTCAATTTTTGTTTGTAAATCATTTTTCATTTGATCATTTGTCAGCTGTAATGATTCAATATTTGTATTCAAATCAACAATACGATCATCCATTAATTTGATTGTTGTAAATATTGAATTGTCCAAATCATTTGTATCTGTGGTGTTGATTTTTGGTTTTCGAAGACCAAAAACTTTGACCGGTGAAGACACCGATGATTTGGTCATAATAAATTGATCTAAAGCTGTTAACACTTCATTCCAATCGGCTTCATCATTCAAACGAATTTGTAATATCGTGGATAATTTTTTCAATCTTGAACGAAGATTTTTTTCACATTGATTATTTCTTTCAATTTCCATTTCTAAATGTTGTTTGGATGAATTTGATTCGGATAATTTTTGATTCAAATCTTTTATCATACGATTTAATTCATCAATTTGTTCATCACGTTGTTTACAATCATCATTCATAATGGTTAATTGATTTTCAGCCGTTCTTAATTGTGATCGTAATTTATTTTCCAATTTTTCCCGTTCTTTTAGTTTATCTTTTAATGTAACCAATTCTTTATTAAATTCATCACGTTCCATTTCTCTTTCTTGTGTTTGTTCATCAATAAAACGTTTTAATGAACAAAGATTTTTTTCTTTTGCATCCAATTGTGATTGTAGTTCTTCAAATTCAATATTTTTATTTTCAACAATCATTTCTTTTTCTGAACGAATCGATTCTAAATCACCAGTCAGATGATTAATTCGTGATAGAAGATTCTTTTTCTCTTGTTGCAGATCACGAATATCACGACTAAGTGTTTCATTTTCATTTAATAATTCTGATTGATTTTTTTTTTTGGAAAAAAAGAGAAAAAAAATTGATAGAAATGAAATCAATGATCAAAGACAAACAAACAAAAATTCAAACATTGGGGAAAAATGTGATACCTTTGTCTATTTTGGGTAAGAATTTCAACAAAACGTTTCATTTCGTATGGGGAATTCGATAAGAAAACAACAACAAGGGAAATATTGATGTGAGAGATAGGTATCCCAGGAAAAAATGGCCAGAATTAATTAATGATTATTGATAGACCATAAGTAAAAACAGAAAAAAACCATAGGTAAAAAAAGGCATGCATATTTTAATAACCATAAATTCATAAAGAATAATCAAGGAAGAAAGAATAACCAACTTACTTTGATGTAATTGAGGTAGTCCTTTATCAAATGATTTTCGTTCCATTTCAAAACGTTTATTATCATTTATAAAACGATCACGTTCATGTTCAAATTCATCTAATTTTTCACGTAAACATTGTTGTTGTAATCTTATTTCATTATAATCAATTAATTGATCATTTAATAATTTTTTTTCATTTTCTAATATTTTTACTGTTTGTTCTTTTTCCATTAGCTGCCGGGTTAATTGATCACTACGTTTACATTCTTCTTGAAATTCTATTTGTAATTCATTTTTTTGTTGTTGCAATTCATTATAATCTTGTTTTTGTTGATCCATTGTATTGGAAAGTATTTTTAAAACACGTTCAACAGCTAAACGTAAACGACGACTTGCACCAAGTACAACATCATCTTCAATATCATTTGATTGACCATTCATTAAAGATTTTGAACCAGAACCAGTAATCGTTGTATTAGTTGAATAACTTAATGGATTATTACTATTATAGATTAAATCTGATGGTGTAGTAAGATCAGGTCCATCTTCACAAAGTAAATCAAATGTTACAATTTCACTATTAGTTGTTGACATTAATAATCGTTCTGATTGATCATGATCAAGTGATGGAAAACCACCAAATGAATCATCACAATGTCCATTTTTCATTATCATTGATGATGATGAATTGAATTGACCATTTTTCACTGATTCTAAACCTAATGTTTCCAATTGTTTTTGTATATCTTGTTCAGTATCTAAAAATGTTTTAACCAAATCAGATAATACTACTAATAATCGATTATTAGTTTGTTGATTATATCTATTCAAAGGAAAAAAAAATAGTTAAAAACAACCATTATAATCAATCAGAAAACACAAAAGCAGAAAAATTCGCAATTTTTGTAATCAGGCCATTAATTAAGCCAAACAAGCAACAAGCGGGTTAATTATTATTATCATTATCATTCATACAGCCATTTTCATTCAATCAGCCCAATAAATTAATCAAAAAGTAGGCAACAGGTCATCAGGTTATATCAATCACCAGTATATAACTTACGAATCGTTTGACATTTCTGGTCGACGATGATTATTAACAATGGAATCATCAATCAATAATTCTTCATCATCGATAATATCTTCTTCAATACGCCAATCATAAAGTCTAATTTCAAATTTTTGTGATTACCAAAAGGGTGACAAAAATTACTTTCGCTCACACAATCTTTCTCTCTTCTAATCTGATACAAAGAACGGCCAAGGGAAAAAACAATAAACAATAAACTTACCCTGCTTCGGATGATGAATTATCACAGATTGATTTCTTCTTCTTCGTAGTTGTCATCAACGTTTTACCATTATCCTCATCATTATTCAATAATAAATCATCAATAAATTTTTGTTTTTCATCAATAACCAAATTCAAACGTTCATTTTCTTCTAAATATGAATGACGTTCGATTTCAATTTTTTTCTCCAACATTCGAATCTGTTCGATTAACATTTGTACATTTGGTTGTTGTTGTTCTGGTTGTGGTTGATCATTACAATCAATTTTGTCATTGTTGGCATTGGTCAAATCAATATGATTATAATCCATTTGACTTAGAAAACTACTTTGATTTAAAATTTGTTTTCGACATAATTCCAATGATGATTCATCATTGTTTGCATCAAGACTTGTGTTGGAATTTGTTGATGGTCGTTGTGATTTTGTGGAAGAAATCATCATCATTGTTGTAAATTGTTGCATTTCATGTTTCATATCTTGCAGTTCTTGGTTGATTACCATTTCAGATTTACGTATCTCTTCATTATTCTGTAATGCTTGATGTAATCTTTTACAAAGTTTTTTTATTAATTCATTTCGATCATATAATTCATCATGATTCGATAATTCATTTGAAATAATATTCTCGAGTAGATCCATTTGTTGTTTCGAATCATCATTATTATCATTTGATTCCACCATTGATGTCGATTTCTGATTTCGTTTCAATGATTCTTCGGACTTTTTAACATTCAAAGAAAAAAAAATCAAGAAAAAAAAGTCAAAAATCAGAAATCAACAAAACAAAGCGAGACTTACCTTTTGAATCATTGATTCGAGCATCTGAAATTCATCCAAAGATTCCATAATTTAAAAAAAAACACTCGAAAAGTATTCGATTTGATTTGGTTAAATTCGTGTTACGGTCATCATTGATAAAATCACATTTTTTGTTGAATTAATGGAAAAAAACAACAAAAACTAGAACATTGTCACACAGCAGCCAGTTAGAATTTAGTGGATGCCAAAAATCTTTTTTGGCCGAAACAATTTTAAAAATACACACACACTTTTCACACGAGGAGATAGTTTGGTGAAACAAAAACAAAAACCATACACGGAACATATGTCGAAATCACAATGAGCACCGTTGATTTGTAATTAGCGAAAAAGGAACACCAAGAAAAAAACAAACAAAATAATCGACCATCGACAGGTCAATTTTTGGATGATTTTAGCAAAAACAATTTTTCCTGACAAAAACATTAATTTGTTGTTGTTGAAAGGCCAATGAATTTTGTCAGTAAGTTAATGGTGTGATGTGCGAATTGAAATTGAACAAATGTTGAATGGAGAAAAAATATACGAAAAAAAATGCAATAATAAAGTTATCAAAATCCAAATTTGGCAAAAAAAAAGTGTGATTCTTCCCACAACAACATGGCCAAAATGACTGAAAATAGCAAAGTGTTATCGACGAGAAAAAAAAAACATCGAAAAGAGACAACGAACTTTTTTTCCCATTCACATTTCACATTCTTTCTGTTTTGTTTACAACAAAATGATGCCAAAAACAACAACAACAACAACAGACAACAACGGTTTTTTTTTCTCTTCTCACTTTTACTTTTCAATGCCGTTCATAAAGAACGTGTTTTTGCATAATGGTAAAATATCATCATTATCATCATTATCGATCCTCTTGTTTGTGTTGAATAAAACGTGTCTTTTTTTTCGTTCGATGATTATTATGTGAAGATCATTAACCAACTGAAGAGAAAAATAGATTTTTTGTTGTTGCATCGAAAGTCGAAGGTCAATTTCATGAATTTGATGAATCATAAAATTGATCATATCCAAAAAAAAAAAAATTTTCGAATCCATTTAAAATTCGAATTTCTCGAAAATTGGAGCAACTCTTTATTTGACCTAAGCTAAGAACATATTTTTCGCCAACATACAATGATTATGAAACACATTGGTCCTTGAATTGGCCTGTTTGTATCATTTTTTTTTCTGTTTGTTTGAAAAATTTTTAATGGTTTTTTTTCGTTTCGTTTCAAGGGATTTTCGAATCGAATCGAATGGAGTGGCAGCAATCCTGTAATAATAATAATGGTGGTAAACGAAAACATTCGAAACGATTATGGTTAGAAATGATGACGATATATTCGGGTTTAAAAGCATCATATATTTGGGATATATCATCGGAAGAAAATTTGTTAAAAATTTATCATCATTTACTTGATGAGATAAATATAGATTATCGTCGTCGTCGTCCTACTTCTGTTGGTTGGCCCAATATTATTAATGGCCAACATTCAACAATGTTGAGCATAGTAAAATTGTCACTGACAAATTCTTCAGCCGCCACCACCACCACTACCACGGCCACTGACAACAACCAAACAATGCCCGTTATATTCTATGGCAATATTCATCAGATGATTGAAAACATTAATTCAACATTAGTCAAACTTGATGTTTGGATTCAGAATGATAACCAAAATAACCAAAACAACAACAATGAACATTCATTTATTCATCATTTGTCATCATCACCTTATACAAATTTGATCGACGTTTCAGCTGAATTGAATGAACCTAAAATTATTACAACGATCGTTGGCCAACAACAACAACAACAACAAAATCAAAATAACAATAAGGAAGAGGAAACTATGATGATGATGAGCTTAAAATATTGCCTCCTACACATTCGTAATCAACTTGTTGATGATGATGTTGATGTTAATGAACCACGATGTTTTGATATTCATTTTGACAACAATAATAATTGTGATTTATGTGCAATAAGTGGTATTCTACTTGGTTATCCAATCATTTATTGTAATCGTTATTCGAATGATGATGGTAATTGTCTTGCAAATCAATTATTACGTAATTATCAAATTTGTATGGAAAATTCTGAAACGAAAGAATCATTCATTGTTTATTCGTTTACAATACCGGAGAAATTTGTATTGATTTATCAATCAAAAATTGATCAATGGTTTGATTACATGAAGCAACGATTTAGAAATAATATTGTATTGAAAATGCAATATAAATTGGAATGTCATCCATTCATATTGACCTAATGATGATGATAGCCCCAATCTTTCTTTTTTTTTTCAAAAGTTACTGAGAAAAAATGTGGGCGAATAACTGACTGAATGACGATGACGACGATGATGATGAATGGCCATATCGATTATCAATCATACAGACTAAAATAAGTTCATTTCGTACGTGTGCCAACACTTTTTTGTTGTTGTTGTTTGTTTCATTTTGTTCGTTAATACTGCCATTAATAATCAACGTAGGTGTTTCATTAATCAATTCATTCCATAATGAATATGTTTCATTTAACCATACATCAAATGTTTTCATATCGGCTATATAAACCGGTCGTCGTCGTTGTCGTAATTGATCTGTATCTAATGAAATTTAAATTTAGAGTATGTTTTTTCTATCGAAACTCGAAACAACACTTACTTGATAATCTCAACCATGCAATGACAAGTGGAAGTTGCTGATGCTGCTCCTGTTCTGTTGATGACCAATTTGTTAATCGGATACTTTTATCTTCATTACACGCCATAAAACTAATTTCATGTTGATAATCTTTATCCAGTAGCCATGATTGTAACAAAGATAAATGTCTGATATGAATAAAAAATTCAATGTATTCTTTTTGATGATAAATGTAGCTATTTTTTTCATTTTTACAAGTGTAAATGATTTTATCATTATTGTAACCATTTATGGCAGGTAGATAATTAGTAACCATTAAACCTTTGGATATAAATTGGCCATATTTTTGATATAATGACTCTATATATTGATCGTTCACCACATTAATCCATGGTAATGATAATCGTCGTAATGATTGTCTGGTACTATTTTGATCAATATCATTATTATTTCTATCCAAATTGATTGTTGTTTTTGTTGTTGATTGATTGATGGTTGATGAATAAAAATCATCAAATATTGCGTACAGTTGTTGAAGATTTTCACATTCGGACAAACGTTTCTTTGTATCCGGTGATAGATTAAAATTTAAATATTGTGGAAAATCTGTTAAACTTGTTGAATCAAGATTCGAGGAAAATTCTGTTGACCAATTTGTTGTTGGAAATTGCGTCCATTTTCGTGTTCGATGAATATAACTTTTTGGACGATTTGACCAGAAAATCGGACGAATTGATTCATTTATACGTTTATAATGTTGTGATTGTCTCCATGGTATGATTGAACATTTACCCCATAAACCACAATTTTTTATCACTTGTATAATTGATGATTGATTTAGTGTATAGAAATGAATTCCTGGGAAAAGATTTGTAGCTAATAATTGTCGACAAAGATTGGTAAGATAATTGATTCCTAATTGTTGTACAGCTTGTTGATCTGAACGTACTTGTTCTAATCGATCGAATAATTCCGATGGTATCGGTACAGCTGATAATTTTGAAAATTTAACCAATGATTCAAAACTATTTATAGCACAAATACCGGGAATAATTGGTACATTGATACCAATTTGACGACATTCCTCAACAAATTCAACATAATCTTCACATTGAAAAAATAGCTGTGTAATAATATAATCAGCACCAATCAAAACTTTTTTCTTTAAACATTGACGATCATGTTGTTTATCTTGAGATTCTGGATGTGGTATGGGATAACCAGCAACAACAATAGTAAAATATTCACCATAATGATGACGAATATATTGGACTAAATCGGCTGCATATTGAAATTGATGATTGTCTGTTTGATGATCATCTGTGTGTGTGGAAAATAAATAATGATGTGATTAAATGATGAAATGTGAACAGACAGCTCAGATATCATCATTATCATTATCATTTGATAAAAATCATTGATAAGGATAATGGGCTGTGCTTAATTTGAAAAAAAAAAACACAAACACACTTACCATCATCATGTCGATCACCTCTTAATGCCATTATATTACGTATACCATAATGTTTAGCACGTTGTAAATATTGATTCAATTGTTTACATGTTAAATCGATACATGTAATATGAAGCATTGTTTCTAATTGACAATAATTTAATGCAACATTTGCCATCATTAATGATGATGTTGGTGCATTGGAATCAGGATTACCAGCTGAATGCCATGTTATATCACAATAAAGTGGATCACCATCCGAATAATTTTCAACAAGTTTTATCCAATTTTTTGCACCTTGAACGGTTCGTGCTGGAAAAAATTCCACAGAAAAAAATCGATCATATTGTTGTTGTTTAATCGATCTTTCACGTATTCGATCGGCCAATGATACATATTTTCGATTATCGTTTTCATCGATTTTGGCAATTTCAAACATCTTTTTTGTAAAATACGAATGTTGATGATGATGATTGGCAAAATATTACTGCAACAACAACAACAACAACAATAGTCATTTTATTTTTGATGTCGACGTAGCCATAATAATAATAATTTTTGTAGCCATGATAATTTTGACATTTGCATAATTTTTGCCAACAACAACAAAGCAAAACAATATAAAAATAGCAATAGTCATCTCTCTTTCTTTTTTTTCACCAATTCGAACGAAACAAAACAAAACAAAACAATATGTCCATCCCTCCGTTGTTGTTATTTAACACATGAGTGCTCGCGTGGGGTATATTTCTACCCCAGATTATACAAAAAAATTTTCTAAGTTCGAAATCGCTTAATGTTAAATCAATGGTGGGGTGAAAAAATACCCCACGCGAGCACTGGCGTTAGGATTTGATGCGCGAGCACTGATGTGTTAAAAATAAAAAAAATACAGTGTTACTTCGCTAAACGAAGGTTTTTTGTTTTTTGATAATTTTTTGGTTGTTGATGAATAAAGTTCGATATTTTTTTTTTTTTTTTTTTTTTTTTTTTTTTTT